CTTGCTGTGTAGCTTGAACCAGTTCTTGCAGAGCGCGGGTACACCCTGGTGCCCTCTGGCGCGGCCCCAGCCTCTTGCTGTGTTGTGCACACACATTAGGGGGTCATACCACTGAAACCACCACTCCAGGAGCCAGCGCCCCACAATCAGAGGGCTCAGCCGGCCTCTCGAGAAACAAAAGGGTTCTAAATTGCTTAACAGCGCGCCCCCACCCACGCACAACTTACCTGTTGGAAGCAGAAGGTGGGCAGCGTGCAGTCCTGGGACGTCTGAGAGCCGCGCCCACTCACCGGGACCACGCCCTGGAGGTGAGGGCACGCCCACTCGTGGAGACCACGCCCTCCAGGTGACAGGGCACGCCCACTCACCGAGATCACACTCTTCAGGTGGTGAGGCCACGCCCACCCTATGAGGCCACTCCCCGGCGGGTGGCCACGCCCACTGGCGGAGGGCCACGCCCCGCAGCGCTCTCTCCGGGACCGCGGGCTTGGCAGGGCTGGCCCGGGGCTGGCGGGTCCTCGGAGGACCAGGGCTGTGTCCTGCCCCCAGAGCTGTGGCCCAAAGGCAGCCCCCTCTTCCCGCGCGGGGGCCACGCGGGACACTGCGCTCCACCAGATCAGGGTGCCGGGTGAGGGGGTCAGAGAGAAGGAGTGAAGGGTGACAGGGTCAGATGAAGGAGAGGTGATGGGGTCAGAGTGCCGGGGTCAGAGAGTGACGGGGTCAGAGAGTGACGGGGTGAGGGGTGACGGGGTCAGAATGACAGGGTGAGGGGCGAGGGGTTCAGAGTGAGGGGGTGAGAGGTGATGGGTCAGAGTGACGGGGTGAGGGATGACTGGGTCAGAATAACGGGGTGAGGGGTTCAGAGTAACGGGGTGCGGGGTGATGGGGTCAGAGTGACGGGTGAGGGGTGACGGGGTCAGAATAACGGGGTCAGAGAGTGAGGGGGTAGGGGTGACGGGGCGAGCGGTGACGTGACGGGGTTAGAGTGACGAGGTGAGGGGTGACAGGTCAGAGTGACAAGGTGAGGGGTCAGAGAGTGCCGGGGTGGGGAGGGTCAGGTGAGGTCAGGTGCGACCCGGCCAGGGCCTTGCCTGGCTCCGCCCAGTGGCCTCAGGCGCCTACGCAGAAGCCGCCTGAGTCCCACCTCGGCAAGACCTGGGTGCCCGAGGCTCCCGTGACACTCTGGGCCTCAGTTTCCCCTCTGGGACAGACCCCCACAGCTCGGCCTGCACTGCGGCAGAGGCTGCTCCAGGCTGTCCGGAGGGCCCCCCCCGAGGGCCCCAGAGACCACTGGGGTGCCGGGGGGTTCCCGGGGACAGCGCCCCGACCTCTGACCCAGGGCCCCGGACCCTGAGCCTCACCGCCCCCCACTGCTCTCTCAAGACCACCCTGCCCCCTCCCCCGGGGTGAGGGAGACCCCCGCATGCAGGCTGCGAGCCCCCTAGGGCCACTCCAGGCCGCAGGTCTGCGGGGTAGGACGGAGGGAAGGGGCGCGCTGTCCCCTCCCCGGGTGCCCCCACCCCTCCGCCCTCCCCGGGGCGCCCGCACCCCGCCTCTCCGCGCCGCCCAGCCCCGCCCTCCCGGCCTCAGTTTCCTTCGCGCGGGGCCCTGGGGACTCCGCCCGCGGCTCCTCCCGGCGGCCCGCCCCGCCGCCGCCTCTGCCCAAAAGCAGCCCCGCGGCCGCCTGACGTCAGGCCGGGAAGGCGCGGCCGGCCCAGGGCAGCGTCCCGGGTCGGTCCGGTCCGGGTCCGGTGCTACTGCGAGGCCGCGCGGGGTCCCGCAGCCGCTGCGTCTCCGCTGCCCACCCGCCAGGTGCGAGGCGCGGTGAGTGTCCCGCGGGTGGCCAGGGAGGCGCAGGGCAGGGCCGGGCAGGGCCGGGCAGGGCGGGAGGAGGGGGAAGGGGGCCTGAGTCCCTGGCCCGCCGTGCAGGTGGGCCCACCAAGGCCCGCAGGGAGCTTGCAGTGGGAAGAAATGGTCCTCCCCGGGGCCCGGGATACCCTCACCTGGTGCTCAGGTCCCACCCATTCATTCATTCTTCTATCCCTCCATTCACTCACTCACTCACTCATTCATTCTCCTCCAGGTACCGCTGCTGCTGGTCTTAATTTCCCCATTGCTCAAAGCTCTGGTGGCTCCTGGGGACAGGTCAGTGAAAGGCCAGGGGGCCCCAGAGTTGCATCGGGTCCTGGCCACCCTATACCCAGGCTGGGGCAGGGCTTGGGGAGAGCCCCTGAGTTAAGAGGGGGACCCGCCCTGAAGGATGGTCAGTGCTGCGTCCTGCCACACAGACCCTCTGCTGCCCCCAACCCGCCCCTCCTGCCCCGTCAGAGGTGGGAAACTGAGGCCCAGGGCATCAGGTGTGCCCAGGTCCCCCAGCAGAGTCCCTCAAGGGGCCCTGCCCGCCCTGCTTGGCTCTTGCGGGTGCTCGCTGCTCTGTGAGAAACAGGCTCCCCAGAGGAGCAGGCGGGATGGGAACTGGCCAGGGGCCAAGGTGCCGGGCAGGCAGGCGAGTGAACGAGGCATAGCTGTGTGGCCGCAGACAGGACACAGTGGGCAGGGGCCTTCGGTGTCTCTGAGCACCTTCTGCAGCCGAGGTGAGGCCCTTTTGTTCTGGGGTCATCTGAGGCAGTGAGCAAGCGGGTGACTCTGGCCTCATTTCACCGGTGGGCAAACAGACTGAGGTGGTCTCAAATCATGGGGTTGGGGGTAACAGCCTGGGCAGGGGGTGTGGATTCATTTACTGGTCAGGCTGGGGTAGGGTCAAGTGCTGAGGTGTCCTAGCTGGCTCCATCCCCTGCCCAGAGTCTGTGAGTCCGCACTGAACCCCAGGGCCTTTGCACTGGCACCACTGCAAGCACCCTGCCCCAGAGCCTCCCAAGAGGACTCCCACTGCCAGCTCAAGTGGCTCCCCTGGCTCCGACTCCCACCGTGAAAGCCCCAGATGCCCCATTCCATGCCTTGTAGGCAGTGAGTGGCCTGGCACTGCCGGAAGGGCCTGTGGGATCAAGGAGCTGTGGGGGCACCGTGGGGGCAGGGGCCCTCAGCAGGTGGCACAGCTGCGTGGGTAAAGGCAGCGTCCCACGGTGAGGGGAACGGGCAGTGAGGTGCCTGTGGAGGACCCTTGACATGGCTCTGCAGAGGATGGTGTCGCAGGAACACTGAGGTGTGACCGGGCTGCGTGTGTCTGAGTACCTGGTGATCATGCTCCTGCAGCTGATGGCCGGGACTCCCCAGACATCCGCCTCCCGAAGAGCTGGGGGCCTCAGGGTCCTCACCACACCCACGAGGAACAGTGGCTGAGAGGGGGCATGGACAGGACTGAGGGTCTCAGACTGAGGCCGCAGAGCTGGGGCGGGAGTGCGGGGAGGGTGTGAGCGGGGAGAGTTGGGGCGCGGGGGCAGAGCAGCCACCACAGGGAAGAGGCCTGGCTGCAGCCCGTGTGATCAGTTGGGGGGGGCCCTCACTGCCCAGGCCCTGTGTGCTGCGCAGGATCACAGAGGAGCCCTCGGGGTGGCCGGGAGGATGCAGACAGAGCCCCCCATGTCCACCCTCCCATCCCCATGGCCGTGTGGGCAGAGCCCCCGTGTCTATTGTGGCCAGTGGACGTACGGGCGAGTTGCAAGTCCCCGGGTCTGTGTCCAGCATTGCGCGCCTCTCCCTGGACATGCCTGAGTCCAACGGGCCCCCCCACCCTGACTCCCCTCTCACGGCTGCACCCCAGGGTGGCACAGGGAGACCTGACACCCCCCTGCCAGGTCATGGGCCAGGGTACGTGTGAGGAGACTTGCCCTCCCGTGGTGCTTTCCTGACTAGGGCAGCCGCCCTGGGGGGTCGTGAGCATGCGGCCTCTGAGCCACGCCAGCCGAGTTCACCTGCGCTCTCCCCAGACCAGCATCTTCCGGCTGTGGCCATGTGACTCTCCCCTCTGGGGAACCCGTGGGGAGCAGCAAGAGGGTCCAAGCCAGACTGTGCAGAGCAGTGGTCACTGCGGCCATGCAGAGGAGGCAGCAGCCTACTGGAGCAATCAGGGAGGGCTCTCTGAAGAAAGAGGCATTGCAACTGAGAGAGGATGGGATGAAAGCTGGATAACCTGGGACTGGAGCCATAGCACAGCAGGGAGGGTGTTTGCCTTCACGCAGCCGACCCAAGTTCGATGCCCAGCATCCCATAGGGTCCCCGCAGCACTGCCAGGGGGTAATTCCTCAGTGCAGAGCCAGGAGGAACCCCTGAGCATTGCCGGGTATGACCCAAAAAGCAAAAAAAAAAAAAAAAGAAAGCTGGATAACCAGGATCATTTTAGCCACAGGGACAAAAGACGCTAGATGCTTCCTACACCCAGCAACCCCCACAGGCTAGGTCCAGAAGCTGGAGCTATCCCCCCGCACCCCCCCTCTTAACTCAGTTTCTGGCAGCAGAGCACTGACATCTGGGCTCAAGGTTAGTCCCGGACAGCCAACATGGCAGGGCCAGTGGTGACGGGAGGCCCTCGGACCCACACGGGCAGGAAAGCACATCTCTGAGGCAGGTTGGAATTCAGTGTTGTGGGAGCCAAGACCCCAGGGCCTGCAAGAGCAGCAAAGACAGTCCAGGGCTTGAACCAGCATACTCGGGGCCCCTCACCCCACAGCCACTCACCCCCTAACCCCTCAGCCCTTCACCCCGGGTCCCTCATCCCAGCACCCCTCACTTCGGGTCCCTCACCCTGGGTCCCTCACCCCCGGTGTTTCACCCCAGCCTCTGGCGTCAGGCCTTTGTGATGCTCCAGACTCAGATGCCACGTGAGCGGCCCCGTCCACGCACGCAGGCCCCTGGGGCTGGCCCCCCTGCGCCTGGGACCCGCGGGCTCAGACCCTTTCCACTCCCACCCATTGGGGTCAGCAGAGCTAGCGGGACACAGCAGGGAGAGGTCCCAGGTCCCCCCCAGGCAGGGCGGAGGGTGCCCCAGTGAGTGTGTGCCCCAGTGAGTGTGTCTCTCCTTACAGGCCCCAGGGTCCGCCGCCATGGCCCCCGCCCTGCCCACGGCCCCAGCCACCCCCAACGTCACGGCCAACGGCAGCACGTCCCTGTTCCACCTGTTCGCGCAGCTGGACGCAGAACTGCATGCGGCCTACCCCGGCCTGTGGCTGGCGCTCATGGCCGTGCACGGCGTCATCTTCCTGGCGGGGCTGGTGCTCAACGGGCTGGCCCTGTACGTGTTCTGCTGCCGCACCCGGGCCCAGACGCCCTCAGTCATCTACACCCTCAACCTGGTGGTCACCGACCTGCTGGTGGACTTCTCGCTGCCCACGCGCTTCCTGGTGTTCTACGGCGCGCCCGGCTGCCCACGCTGCGCCTTCCCGCATGTGTTCGGCTACTTCCTCAACATGCACTGCTCCATCCTCTTCCTCACCTGCATCTGTGTGGACCGCTACCTGGCCATCGTGCGCCCCGACGGCTCGCAGCGCTGGCGCCAGCCCTCCTGTGCTCGGGCCGTGTGCGCCTGCGTGTGGCTGGCGGCGGGCACCGTGACCCTGTCAGTGCTGGGCGTGGCAGCCGGCGACAGGCTGTGCTTCCGCGTGGTGGCACTGACCGTGCTGGAGTTCCTGCTGCCACTGCTGGTGCTCAGCGCCTTCACGGGCCGCATGGTGTGCGCGCTGTCCAGGCCCGGTCTCCTGCCCCAGGGCCGGCAGCGCCGCGTGCGGGCCATGCAGCTACTGCTCACCGTGCTGGTCATCTTCCTCCTGTGCTTCACGCCCTTCCACGCCCGCCAGGTGGCCGTGGTGCTGTGGCCTGACGTGCCTCGGCCGCTGAGTCTCGTGGCTTACCATGTGGCTGTGGCCCTCAGCAGCCTCAACAGCTGCCTGGACCCCATCGTCTACTGCTTCGTCACCAGCGGCTTCCAGGCTATGGTGCGTGGCCTCTTGGGCCGGCCGGGTGCAGATGGCGAGCCCAGCAGCGGGGACGTGGTGGGCCTGCACAAGACCTCCAAGGGCACCGGGGAGCAGCACAGCCCCAGCCCCCGCGCCCTCCCGACAGCCCTGGCCAACGGGCCTGAGGCTTAGCTAGCCGGACGGGACTGGGACAAGCACCACACTGTGTCTCCTGGCATGGACGGCGGCACGGAGGCTACCCACGCCCCCGGCCGCTGGCTGCAGTGACTTTGGACTGGAGGTCCACCATGCTGCCCGCCCTGCAAGTGTGTTGCTGAGAAGTCGGGGTAGCGATTGCTTGCCCCAGGGCCTGGTGAAACGGACGTGGGTAGGTTTCAGGACCCAAGAATCTGCTCCCATGAGGGTCATGGCCTGAGGACCAGGTAGAAGCAATTGCGGGCGTGCCCAGTGTCCCCGACCTCCCGCTGCCCTGCCCAGAGCAAGCGACTGGTTTCGGTCTAGGCTCTGCCACGCCGTGTGGGCTGAGCAGCATGAGCAGTGGGGCGGGGTGTGGGGATCACAGGGGCCGGCGGGCTCCAGCCCAGCCCTGCCATGGCCACCCTCGGCTCTCGGGGCTCGGTGGGCCTCCCAACTGTCAGTTCCCGCCATTGTCCCCTGGCTTGTGTGCGAACCTGGCATGGCGGGGGCCTTGAGCAGGGACCCTGATATACCCGGAGGACCCTCCTGTGGGGCGAGGGGTGCTCCAGACCCTCTGTGTGGGAGCGGCACTTCCGAGAACAGCCCATCTGGGGGGTCTTGACTGGGCCTCCCTGAGGAAGGCTGTGGGGGCACGGGGACCCCATCCTGGGAGGGCTGAACCCCTCCCCCACCCACAGGCTTCCAGAGGGCTGGGAGGGCAGGGTGAGGGATCAGAGTGGCTGCCCCTCCTTGGCCCAGAGGGGGTCGCCTGCCCTATAGGCGAGGGGACTTGGGGGACCATCTGAGAACTCTATCTGACCTTGCCAGGCAGGCCTCAGTTTCCCCCCTCCTCAGCTGTGGGACTGGGGTTCATCCTGTGACCTCGTCTGGGTCCCACAACCCCTGTCCCTAGGGGACAGTGACCAGTCCCTCTAGGGCCTGGGTGTCAAGAAGGCCCTGCACCCCACCAGGACTCCCCCGACCCTGGGTCGGGCAAGGCTGAGTGATGCATGTATCTGTCCACCGCCCAATTAAACCTGTTTTCCTTGTGCACCGAGTCCACATTCCAGCAGGGGGCGCTGCAGACCTTTCGTCCCCGGCCGCAGTGCTATCAGCAGGGTCAGGCCACAGCGCGTGGCTCTCGCCCTCAGAGGAGGCCGAGGGAGCAGGGGTTAGCCTGAAAAATCCCGGAGGGAAACCCTCAGGCCTGCTGAGCCCACCTGGAAGCCTGAGGTGGAGCGCCCCCATCTGCAGGCGGGGAAACTGAGGCTTTGGCTGCCCCCAGGGCGGTTCCTGCCTCCTCTGTCCGCCCAAGGGATGGGGAGGGCTGCAGGCACGAGGACCATCACTCTGGCCGTCTGGCAGCGGGCGGAGGCGTCTGGAGGTAAATATTGGGGCCTGTTTAGATTAGAGTCCATTAATAGCAGGAAGTGTCACGCTGGCGCCGGCCCCAGCTTCCCGGAGTGAGCAGGGGGGCAGGAGCGTCACCCTCGCTCTCGGGCCTCCGGCCCATCACCCCCCATTATCGTTCAGGACAGGGGCTCAGGGCCCCCCCAAAGGAGCAGACGCTGCCCCTGTCATTACCCTCCCACCCCACCCCCAGACACTGTGTCCCCACACCCCAGCCCTCGTCACACCAGCTTCTCCACTGGGAGCCTCAGTTTCTCCCTCCATCAGGTGGGCAGCTAACACATCCGGGTGCCTCATTCTCTTCCTTCTTTGGGGGAAGTTTCCCGATTCCACTCAGGGTGCCCCCTGAGTATGCTTGTCCACAGGGGAGAGGCCCCCGGCGGCCTCTGGGTGCCACACTGCGGCGGGGCTAGGCACGTACCACACAGCCGAGCTCCCTCCCGGCCGGCTTGTGCTTCTACGCGTGTGCACTGCTGTGTGTGGCCGATGCTGGTACTAGTGTGGGTACATGTGGGGTGTGTGTGTGTGTGTGGTGTGTGACATGTGCTCCGAGTGTATTGCTAGGATGTGAGCATCGCATGTACATGTATGTGAACACCTGATCTATATGCCTTGCGCTTAGCATGTGCTTTGTGTTCGTGCTGTGCTGTGTGCAGAGGTGTGCGTGGTTGCTGTGTGCATGGAGTTCTGTGCGCACCTGTAGGTGTGGTTGCTGTGTGCACGTGTGTGTATTGTGTTCTGTGTACATGTGTATGTTCTGCGCGCATGGATGTGCATGGCGTGCTCTGTCTGTGTGTACTCATGTGCCCATCACCAATGTTTGCACTAAGTTTTTGAGGGACTTGGGGTGCCCTAAGCCCCGCTCCCCGACCCATGGTCATGGTTGCCAAGACCATTCGTGCTCTCTCACTCCTCTGGGCTGATGTATCCCGAGCCTCCCCTGTCCCTGGACCTGTGGGGGCAGGACTGAGTGCACACAGGCACTTGCCAGCCTGCTCTGGGGGAGCCTTCGCTGGGGGTGGGGTCAGGTTGCCGGACTGAGGTGCCTCTGGATCTGGCCACCAGGGGGCGCTGTGACCCAGGGAGGAGCCGGGCTGTTGGCTGGCCTCCACCCCACCCAACCCCAGTTCTGCAGGGGGGAAACTGAGGCTCTGGCTGCCAGTTCTACCCCCAAGGAAGCCGGTCAATCAGCTCTTCCCATCTGCAGGCAGGAGACTGGGGGAGGCATCAGAGGGAGGAAGACAGACAGTGACCCTGGCTCTCTCCTACCTACGCAGGGGACAGGGACCCTGTGGGCACCCAGGGTCACCTCCTTTGGCGGGTAATGGGCACAGAGAGGGCTAGACCCTCACCTGAGTCTCACAACAAGCCGTGGCACCAAGGGAATACAGACACGGAGTTCCCAACAGGAGGGCTGAACTCTGACCCCAGCATGAGGTCATGACCGGGAGGCTTCTGGCTGGGCCTGTTCTGCTTTCAGATGACCCGGCGGTCCCTCAGCCCCGCCCAGACCTCAGTGTCCTCATGCCCAGGCTAGGGTGGAAACACCCCAAACCCTTGCGCTGACTCCTGCACGCCAACGCTGGGAGTGTGCCACTGCGGCCTCCTTCAGTGCCTGCTTCTAGAACCTTCCTTCTACCCCCTGTGTCCCTGCTCAGCGGCCTCACTGCTCCTATGGCTCCCAGGAGGAGCCCCAGGCCTTGAGACCCCCAAGGGGTGAGAATTTGGCCATCCCACACACAAGGAGCTCTCAGCTGACCCTGAAGAGGACCCCTGCTGAGACGAGGGAGGGGGGTGCCCACTGCGTCCCAGGCATGAGGAAGTACAGGGTCAGGGCTGACAGGGCGAGGGGCACAGAGCCAGAGCCTCAGGAATTCCCTGCCAGTGGGGCTGTTTGCTGGGTGACCCTGAGCTGGTGTCCTCAGGAAGAAGACACTCAGGAAGGTGTGATGAGTCGGAAGGACTGTGTGTCCCCAGGGGACCTACCATGGTGTGCAGGGGGGCTCCCCATCCTGGAACCTGAGCAGCCTTATCTCCAGGGGCTCTAGGAACTGGTTCGGGAGCTGGAGCAGGAAGTGGGGAGAAGTGGGTGCCCAGGGCAAGGTACCTGGGAGGGCTCAGGGGTCCCAGGCCGGGGCATGCAGGGTGGGGGCGGAGCCCAGCTCACAGCCCCCGGGGTGGGGAGGAGACCCAGAGCAGATGCTGCACCCCCACATTCCCCGCCTCTGCCCTACACCCCCACACCTCCTGCCTCTCTCCTGCGATCAAACACCCCAGGGAACCCGACTGGGTCCTGCGGAGAAGGGCTGGTGCCGGTGCTGAATGGTCCGGCTGGGCTGCAAGGAGGAGCCAGGTCCCCATGGGCACTGCCGGCCGGGACAGGAGAGGTTCAGCAAACCATGGTGGACACGGGAGTTGTCCGGGTTCCTTGCTGGGTGGGGGGCGGCTGCCTGGTGGGCAGGGCCGGGCCGGGTGGGGGGGGGGTTAAGGCGTGTTCGTTTTGTAGCCCAGCAGCTCAGGGCCTCAGAACTGTGGGGCTCAGCACTGACCTGGAGGTCTGGCACCTCTAAACGCCACTGGCCGAGGGCACCACGCTGTGACTGTCATCTCAGTGAGTCTCGGACTCTGAGAAACTAGGGGTCCAGCCCCCAGCCCCTGAGGGTGGGAAGAAGCCCGAATCAGCCTGGCCCATGCATGAAAAGGGGCTCTGGAGCTGCAAGGGGCTTTGCTTTAAGGACCCTGAGGCAGTGGGGGCTGCAGCTCCCTCTCTGGCCTCCAGGGGGAGCTGACACTGCCCGTCACCCTGGCCACCTGGTCCAGACCCTACCTATTTCTCTGGGCCCCGCGAGGGACCAGCTGGTCGTCACCCCACAGGAGGCCTGGCTGGCAGCAGGCACTTAGCTGGGACCCCGAAAAGTCGTCACAGTCTCACATCTGCTCCGCAGTGCTACAATCCCTCCCCCAGAGCTGGACGCTGGGCCTAGCGTCCAGCACAGCTGGGGACCTCTGCCAGGTGCCATGGACAGGTGTCTGGGCACTGATTCACACCCTGGCCCACCTTGGCAGAACGCCTGGGCTCAGCTGTGCCGACCACTCAGATGGATCAATGTCCCGGACATTGCTGACCCACAGCTGGACATGGGCACTGCTGACCCATGGGCTGGACACGGGTACTGCTGACCCACAGGCTGGACATGGGTACTGCTGACACATGGACACGAGCACAGATTGGACACGGGAACTTCTGGCCCTCGGGCTGGACATGGGCATTGCTGACCCTGGCTGGACACAGGCACAGCTGACCCGCGGCTGGACAAGGGCTGGAGACAGGCCCACTGCAGCCCTCAGCACTGTGGGGACTGCACCTGCCATGTTGGGGTGCACAGCTAGGACACCCCTGCCATGTTGGGGTGTCCTGCCCTGTCTGGATCCACGTGACCTGCGCAGCCAGTGAAGTGGCCCCAGAACCAAGGGGACGTGGCCAGAACCTCCCTGCCACAGAACCTAGGGGCTCTCAACAGCCTCTGTCCATGCTGTGGCCCCACACCTCACATCTCCTGAGCCTCAGGACCTCCTTCCATCCT